AGAATGAGATGACAACAAGAACGGGGCTAAGGGAATTCACTCTGCCTACAGATGTACTGTATTTGTACTTACTTTTCAACCTCTGGATATAGCATACAATGGTGCCCCGCTTGACGACGATAATCCATTCCATAGAAATCGCTGTTTAGCGAAAACATTGTCTTGCGAAAACCATTTCCCCATTGGAATGCATTGAAACTCATTTAATGCGTTCCAATGGGGAAAAATCGACGTTTTGCGAAGATCGCCCATAGGGAGGCCATTTTGTGAACCACCGATCAGCTGTTAAAATGGCTGCCCTGCGAAGCATCGATCCCGAAAACACCCGTTTTGCGAAGTGCCGGTCAGTGTTGAAATCATCATCTTGCGAGAAACGGTTTGCGAAGCAGGGACCCAAACATCGTCCAGCGAAAATCGCCCATTGGAATTACTGTTTTGCGAATCACTATAGCAATCCCAAAACCTCATTGTCATGCGGATTCGTTTTGCGAGGTCGTCATCTAGCGAGGTACCACTGTATTTCTAATATTCTCAAATGATAAGATGCATTTCTAAAAACACTGAATTTCGGAGTGTTGAGGATTGGAGAAGCAGACTGATCAGCCTGCTATAAAATTTCCCCCCCCAAAATGATGAACAGCATTTTAGCTACACGATTGTTCTCAAGACAGCTAAACTATCATGGACAATATTTGCTTCTAGTATTGAATCTGTTTATCTAAATTCAAGAATAAGGACAGCAGAGTACACTGCTGTGTCTAGCAGGAGCTTGCATCTGAGCTGAGATCTACTTATATTTTAACAAGGTAGCAGCAGCAGCATCCCCTTCAGTGGCTTTTGTATCCCAATCTGCCCAAACTGGCCCTTTCCCAAACATGGAATTTACACATCCTCTGGAGAGTTTGGTCTTATGGTTGAGGAATCTAGAAAGTACCAACTTTTAGGTGGTGGAAAGACTGGTGTATCTTTTGGAGAAAGTTCTTGTTTGTTTTACCCTTGACCATATGGATTAATATGGAATATCATCCGTGGAGTATCATGGAAACCTACAATAAGAACATGCTGATTTTCAGCTACTCACACAATGATGGAGGGCAGAAGGATTTGGTGTGAACTCCCTTGATCTTTCTATATTAAGTATATTCATGCCTTTTTTCTTTCCATAACCAGACTCATTCCTTTATCATTTTCTATTCAGTAAGGATGGTTTGCTTTCTTTGCAAAGAGCAACTGTCACCCTTGCATGCTAAAATGTGCATGTAGCTGATGAACAGATTTGTTCCAGAAATAAAACAAAACAAATGAAGTATGCTGAGAATCTTACCTTGCACTTTAAAAACCTACCACAAAGTTTCTGTATCTCTCCCATTCACAAGAGCCCCATGGTGCATTTGTAAAGCTGCAGTACTGCAGTCAAGCCTCTGCTCATAACCCAAGTTCAATGCCAACTGGCTCAAGGATGACTCAGCCTTCCATCCTTCTAAGGTCAGTAAAATGAGTATCCAGCTTGCTGGGGGGCAAGATGTTGTTTGCATAATTATGTTGTGAACTGCCTGGGGAGTGTTTTAGCATTGTGGGACAGTATGTAAATCAACAGTACGTAAGTGATTGGGCCAAAGCTGAAGGGATGCTCAGCTGCGGACGCACCTGGAAGTGAAAGGAAAGTCCAATGCTGCAAAGAAAAATACTGCATAGGAACCTGGAATGTAAGATCTATGAACCTTGGGAAGCTGGAGGTGGTCAAACAGGAGATGGCAAGAATAAACATCGACATCCTGGGCATCAGTGAACTAAAATGGACAGGAATGGGCGAATTCAGCTCAGATGATTATCATATCTACTATTGTGGGCAAGAATCCTGTAGAAGGAATGGAGTAGCCCTCATAGTCAACAAAAGAGTGGGAAAAGCTGTACTGGGATACAATCTTTAAAATGAGAGAATGATTTCAATACGAATCCAAGGCAGACCTTTCAACATCACAATAATCCAGGTTTATGCACCCACCACCAATGCTGAAGAGGCTGAAATTGACCAAGTCTATGAAGACTTACAACACCTTCTAGAACTGACGCCGAAGAAAGATGTTCTTGTCATTATAGGGGTCTGGAATGCTGAAGTAGGAGTCAAGAAATAAAAGGAACAACAGCTAAGTTTGGCCTTGGAGTTCAAAACGAAGCAGGGCAAAGGCTAATAGAGTTTTGTCAAGAGAACAAGCTGGTCATCACAATCTTTTCTAACAATGCAAGACGTGACTACACATGGACATCACCAGATGGGCAATACC